AGAGAGAGAGAGAGAGAGAGAGAGAGAGAGAGAGAGAGAGAGAGAGAGAGAGAGAGAGAGAGAGAGAGAGCTGGTGCCAGCCCACCTGAACAGACGCCTGGTCGCTCCCACTGCCTGCTCGAGCTGCCTCCTGCTGCCTGCTGCTGCCTCCTGCTGCCTCCCGCTGCCTGCTGCTGCGTCCTGTTTCCTCCTCGAGCTATGGGTGAAGGTGCTGCCGAAGGGCTGGTCCGACGACGACAACGAAGAACAGGCCGCCGCCGAAGGAGAGCAACAACAACGGGCGGGCAGGCCGACTACCGGGGTGCCCAACTGAGGCGTGGGGTTGGCCTGAACCCCGTTGGGGAGGTCTGAGTAGTTCGAGAACGAACTACTCAGATCTCCCCCCAATTTTTTTAACGGGCCCGCGCGCGGCCCGAAAAAAAATTTGCGCGCCCAAACGACCATTTTTCCCCAGCAGCCCCCCGGGCCTAATTTCCCCCCCCCAAAAAAAAAAAAAGATTTCCGCAACCCCTCATTTTCCCTGTGCGGCGCATGTCGTGCGCGCGCCAGCTGCGCGGTGCGCTGTGCGCCGCACCTGCCGTGACGCCGCGCACGACATGCGCCGCAAGTATGATTTTTATTGTTTGTTTCGCAAACCGCACTCTTTTAGTTCATAGATATGTGACAATATATAAGTATATATATGTATATACACAGAGAGAGAGAGAGAGAGAGAGAGAGAGAGAGAGAGAGAGAGAGAGAGAGAGAGAACAAAGGGAATGGAGAGTAAAATCGAGAGAGGAGTCGGCCAAGGAAAGGGGATGGGGACAGTGGGAGGGTACCGGTCATGGTCCATGGAGGTAGATACTCTGATCCAACGCCTCTGGTGCGTGGTGGCTCTCTCTCTCTCTCTCTCTCTCTCTCTCTCTCTCTCTCTCTCTCTCTCTCTCTCAACTACCGAGGGTTCGAATCCCTCACTCTCCGTTTCCAAATCCATAAAAAAGTGCAAGAAAAAAAAATCATATATTCCCAATCTACATTCCCACTGTCCGGGTAACCGGCGTTCGGGACGGGCCGAACGCCCGAACCCGAACGCCCGAACGTACGGAACCCCTTGGGGATGCGTCCGGCCGTTCCGGCCGAACGAGGACCAAAAAAAAAAATAAAAAATCTGGAAAGAAAAAATATCTATGGAGAAAAATAAACAACATTTGCCTGAGAATTACATCCAAATTCCTTACCAATTTTGAAATAAAAATAAAATACAAAAAATAGAACTAATAATAAAAATCAGATGTGAGGAACAAGCCCTCAAGGGGTTTCAGACATCACATTGTCCTGGGCTAAGGCCCCCAGCAAGCTAAGTGCCCGCCGTAAGTGAAGCCGGGCCTGAATATTTGTCAAAGGCAAAATTCGACATTTCCATAGGTGGGTATTCAGGCTCTCGCAGCACACCAGTTGGTTGGGAAGACGCGTGAGCCTCACATTGCTGCGTCATACAGTTGCCCCAGGCCTTGACAGTTGCACCTGGGCACACATACACAAAGCAGGGCCTATACATTGGGAAGCAGGCCTTCGGCCTTTGCAAAAGCAGTAGTGCCAACACACCTGCCTGGGAGCCCTGCACAGATGCAGCAAACAGCCCAAGTCCGGAGACTCAGGCCGTGCCTAACTGCAAAAGGGGCTGAGGCCCTCAACTGTAGTCTCGGGCCTGGGCGCAGGGTCTGGGACCTAACTGGAAGCTACTGGAAGCTTCCAGCCAGGCCATACGCAGCATCCAGGAGGCTGCCATTTCCACAAAAGGAAGGAAGCATCCCAGGCCATGCATTCTGGCCAGCGCTGGCAATGCGGAAGTGCTGCTGTGCTCTCACTTGATGCTGCGCTGCTGCCAAGGGCGCTGACGGGGCGCGAGAGGTGAAGTGGGGCGCTGCAGGGCAGCGGGGCGCAGGCAGCCATAGCCGGGCTGCTGGGCGCCAGGGGGTACAGCGGATGATCAGGTGGTCTTCAGGGAAGGAGGCGCTGTGTGGGGTAATCAAGGTCTGATTGAGGGTGACGAGATACGTACCTGGTACATGAAGAGAGGTCGGCGATGGTGTTGGCAGTCATGTACATTGGTCTTCGAGAGTCTAAGTGATCCTGTTGCGTGAACCGGCTGTAGGTAGGCTAGTCAGGTAGAGTAGGCTGGGCGCCGAGCGCCAGACAGGAGAGAGCTACTTTGGATACTGTGTTGGTGTGGCTTACGGGCTTGGACATTGGCTCATTACTTCATTGTATTGCTCTATATGGATGGTTTTCTCGGTGCATTTGTACTCTCTGCTTGGGACACGACTACTTGTTCAGCTGTGTGATTTCGCAACTTGCTATTATGTATATCGCTCACACTCATATTCCTTGCAAAGATAAAATAAAAAGAGAAATAAAATTAGTCAGTGAGCGAGTGCGTTTTTGACACCGCTATCTTTGGCGATTTTCATTTTTTTTTTGGCATATCCAAATGCCCTGAAAATTCACAGATGTGTACTTCACATAATACAAAACGCATCAAAAAAGTTTCAAAAAATAATAAAATTGTTTAGGAGTCTTTTAGGACCCGCAATAAAGTGAAAACAAAAAATAAAAAGTGAAAAAAACCAAAATAGTGAGTGGGCGAGCACGTTTTGACACCGCAATCTTTGGCGATTTTTAATTTTTGTTTGGCTTAGCCAAATGACTTCAAAATTTTGGCAAAAAAAACTCAGAAAAAAAATCAGAAAAAAATCAGAAAAAAAACCTTATTTTTAGGCCCCGAAATAATTTTTGGCGGGGGCCAAACGTCGTCACGTTCAGTCCCCGTACGGGACCCCGAACGCTGGTACGTACGGAGGTCAGCCCGAGGACCTCTGTACGTACGGGCTGGTGACCCTCCCCACTGTAAAAAGTTAAAAACCAATAAAATGAAAGATGAAATACAAACAGGAAAGACGTAAATAATAAGGATAAAAATCATAAAATTCATTCAGTCTCTCTCTCCGCTTTTTTTTTCACAGACTGATTTGTGGTTCTGTTTTCCTAATCTGAGGGGTTCTTCCACTGTTTTGGTATTATTTTCTTGTTCTGGGTTCGGCCAGCACTGAGTGCTGTTTTGGAAGACTGTCATGGCCCATAAGTCGGGGAGGCAAACATTTGGAGCACGGTTCATCAATATGCTGTCAATTTGTGGGCGATGTTGTACGGTGAATCGGTGATGTAATACTGCAATCCACCTCGAGAGCATGTTTATCCTGGTTGTGCCCACAAGTGTAATGACTGTTGTATTGTAACCCTAAAGAGCAATTTCACTGTAGATTGTATAGGTATGGGCCATGTACTTCCTTTGATGTCAGAGTTCTGATTGGTTGCCTGTCCTGTCGAATGGTTGGATTCTATTCTATGTTGCAGCCTACACTTGTGGAATTGCTACTGTTCCCACCAGAGGTCCCATCTTCCGCGAACGCATCTGGCACTGGGAGGCCCACTTCAGATTCAGATATGGCAGCTACCTCGGGATCAACATCTCCATCTGCTTTTGAAAATGGACTTGATGCGCTGTGGGCCATAGTACGCAGCTCTGACAGACTCTTGAAAAGGTGTGTGCGTACTCAACACACCTTCCTGCATTATTATAAGTCTCTGTGGTTAGACTAAACCATTTCCAGCAGTGCTAGCATCAGTGGTGCCGTACATGCGTGGGAAGCATGCCTGCATCCTTCAGTTGTCACACACAGAGCACTGCTTCAAACTCTTTGGTAGGTTAGTGTGTTAAGCAGTTAATTAATTTCAATTTTAACGGGTCCTTGTGGGCCTAGCGCCCTAAATATTCTGGGGAGCATCAGTCCGGTTCCTTTTCCCCCGACAAGTCAGAAAGGAGTCAAAAGGACTGAATGTACCTGTGTCGCTGGATTGCGATCTTAGACTGAGCTTTAGTCCGACAGTCTCTGTGGCTGGATTGTGGTCTGCCTCTGCCACCACCGTCAAGTGCTGTCTCTCTCTCCCTACATGTTATGTTTTGCATTCTGTTCCAATCTTGTGCACCTGCCTCAACAGAATTAAATCGGTCTGCACAAGATAGGGTACACTGGGCCCAAGGGAAATATTTCCCAGGGGCACCTGTTGAACAGACCTATAGGTGGGTCCCAGCTAACTGTGTTGCTTAAATTGTTTTTGGGCTGTGTGGACCCAACGAACTTAACGAACTTTTGCACCAAGTGATAGGGAAAATAACAAGCAAACAGCACCCCGCGGGTACCCGATTTGGGCATCCATTGCACCTCAGTGTGTGTGTGCGTGTGTGTGTGTGTGTGTGTGTGTGTGTGTGTGTGCGTGCGCCCGATTTGGGCATCCATTGCATCTCATTGGGTGTGTGTGTGTGTGTACGTGTGTGTTTGTGTGTGTGTGTGTGTGTGTGTTTGATGAGAAAAACGCCACTGTGTCCTTTGGGACATCCATTAAAATTGAATGATGCAGAGAAGATTAGAATGGCTCCTATGCAAGGATGACACACATAAATCGAGAAATGGTCGAAATTAAAAAAAAAAAAAAAGTAAGTATAGACAATCCGACAGCCGGCAGTTCTGGGAAATGGACTTGAAATCGCGCTGAGGTAACGCTGAACCGCCGCAGGGCGAAACTGCGGGGCACCAGCGAGGTCCCCCGGGCTTCTTGGGCATGGCTCACAGTGGAAGGTGAGGAGGGAGGCCGTCCATAGCCAAACACCATCACCGACCAGGGTGGCCAGGCGAGGGGGCCTAGAGAGAGTAGGCGCCCTGCCCGAGGGGGGCCGGGGACTCCAGACATAGCAATCGCACGCGCGCGGACCCGGGAGGGGCGAGGAGATTGCGTGGGTGTGAAAGCGATTGCGTATGGACTTCGAGTGCGAGCACACGGGACGACGGAACGGCACCGGGACGGAATAGCGGGAGGACATCAGCAGGGGAAGCAACGAAACAGCGCCGAGACAACGAAAACTGGTGAGGGCGCCACAAAAGGTACGTATTCGAGAAGCAGGGGATGATGAAGATTCGAAGGAGGGACGGTTTGACGTAAGTGAAAGGGGCACAAACGGGGGGACGGTCTTGCTGCGACGAGCAGGGTTAGGACGTAAAAGTGCTATGGGAGGGTGGGCGCGGACAGAAGAAGGGACGTTTGATAAATAAGGGTGGAGCTCGTAAGGAAGGACGGCGCGGACAGATGGGAGGGTGGGCGAGGGCAGAAGAAGGGACGTATGATAAGTGAGGGTGGAGTGCGTAAGGAAGGACGGCGCTGACAGATCAGCAGACCTTGGAGATCGAGCTGAAGCGGTGCCGGGAAGGAGGAGTTACGAGGGAGCGGGGAAAGGGGGGGGCAAAGAGAAGGAAAGTGCTGATGTCTTTGGGGAAAGTGTTCACGTGTTGGGAGGAATTCACGACCGAAAAGAGAGAGGAACGGAGGGATACCAGGCAGGGATCGTGTAACAGAATAACGAAGGGGCTGGATCAGTACGAATGAGGAAACTTAGGGCACACAGAGAAAATAAATCGAGAATTGGGGGAGGGAAGAAGGTCTGGAAGGGTGCTGGGAAGACGGTCACGAGGAAGAAAGGAAGACAACGAAAGAGGGTGGGACTGAAGGGAAGGACAGCGTCGATGGACTGTGCGCGTCGGGGGAGGACTCCACCAGCGGTGTAGATCGGGGGTATTTGGAAGACGGCACCACGAGGGGGAAGGAAGATAAAGCATGTGGGTGGGAGGAAGATCGAAGGATAGGACAGCGTGACTGTGGACGTCGGGGGAGGATTCCACCAACGGAAGCATGTGGCTGGGAGGAAGATCGAAGGAAACAGCGTGACTGTGGACGTCGGGGGAGGATTCCACCAACGGCGTACATCGGGGTTAGTGGGAAGACACGAGGGAGAAGGGAAGACAAAGCAAGTGGGTGGGAGGAAGATCGAAGGAAAGGACAGCGCCTTGTGGTTGGGAGGAAGATCGAAAGAAAGGACAGCGTGACTGTGGACGTCGGGGAAGGATTCCACCAGCGGTGTAGATCGGGGGTATTGGGAAGACACGAGGGAGAAGGGAAGTCAGAGCATGTGGGTGGGAGGAATATCGAAGGAAAGGACAGCGTCAAACAGTCTCGGGATTAGGATTTCGGGGGAGGGCTTCACGGCCAAAGTAGTTTAGGATAGTACTGACCTACATAGGACAGAAGAAGAGAGGAACGGAGGGGAGGAAGGAACGAAGGGATACCGTGCCCAACCAGTCCTTGGGGTTGCTGGATCAGTACGAAAGAAAATAAACCGAAATATTAAATAACAAGTAACTAAAAACGGGATAAAAGCATATCAAGTACAACAACTAAAACAAAACAAAATAAAACACAATAAACTGCAAAAACATTAAAGCACACATCACCATGAGGCCGGTCAGCAGGCTGCAACGGGCCCACAAACGGCTGGACTCGATGCTGTTCTACAGCGGGGCAATGAGACAGCTGGCAGATGAACGCCTTCGATATAAACGATGGTCTCAACTGAACACTACCCCAGAACACCCCCCCCCCCCCCCCCCCCCCACACACACACAAAACGAAATCTCTGAAGATATGGGGGTTCTAACGGAGGAGGAGAAGCAGCTAGAACAACACGTGAACCCCCCCCCCTCTGGCCATGAGATGAGCGAGGGTCAACCACAGATCACCTGGGCGGACAAGCTCAGAACCCCGCACCAGGGTAGAGCCCTTACCATCCAGCGGGGCCAGGGTAGCCCCCGAACCGGGAAACTTGAGATCCCCCTGGAAGGGCTACCATCTGTGAGGGCCTTCTTCATGGCCAAATTCCTCCTGCCGTCGGAAACAAGGGTTGTGTCACAAGGTGGCAAGCAGGTTATGGTCGCCGCCTTCAAGTCGGTCAACGACAAGGTCAAGTGGATTGGCCGCCGGCTTGAAGTTCTGAAAAACTGTGCGGAAATGGCCCGGGACCAATTCTTGGTACATCGGAGGTCAGGATCCACCCCTGGATGCCGCTGCGCAGGATGGGACCGGAGGAGAGAAGGGCACAGTTGATGCAGGATTTCTTCTGGGTGGAGTTTCGTCATATCCCTGTCGAAGTCCAAGCAGCATTTGTGTATGACTTCGGCTTGCTGTACGACAGTGTTGCTTTCATCGACCCCCTTCCCTCCTTCGTGGCTAAGAGGGACGATTACCTGATGCTGGCCCTGGATTACCCTCAGGGCCAACCTTTTTCCCTCGATGATGTGATCCCGTATCGGATAGGAGGAAAGGAATACATGATTCATACTGCACATGAACTGAGGCCATGGTGCCATAAGTGCAGAGCTTATGGCCATCTAAGTACTGAGTACACATGCCCGCTTCATCCGCAGAAAAGAGCACGAGCAACAGGGCGATTGCTGCGGGACCCAATAAAAGTCACCCATTGGAGGGCAGTGGACCCGGGGCACGAAGGATGGGTCTGGGAAAGATCCGGGGAGCCGGACTGGGGAACACGTCCCTCCAACGCATGGACTCCCCCGGCTCCGGTGGAGGAGAAGGTACAGAACAAACAAGCCCTGCAGGAGAGCCACGTGAACTCAGAATGGAAAATGGCAGGGAAGAAGGGCGGGAAGGCATTCTGGGTCCAAAAACTGCAGACAGAACCAGCTGCCGTGAAGGAAATCCGGGTCCAAAAACTGCGGACAGAACCCTGCTGCCGCGAGTTACATCCAGGATGAGAAGGGAGCTGCAGCTGTTGCAGCTATTGCAGAACAGGAAGGAACCCGAGCTGCAGCCACCATAGAACTGAATGGAACCCAGATCACACAAAACACAAGCAAATGTGCGGGGAAGGCATCGGCTCAATCTCCTCAATCGGATGCAACAAGCAACATTCCTAGGCTAAAGTGTTGCGGGGAAACAGAAATTCTGGAGGGGACTGCAACTGCGGCCCGGTTGGAAACAGGGGATACCGACCCCCTTCAAGCAGCCTTCAGGCTGGATCCCATGGATGTGGACCCCCTTCCGGATAACGCTAGTAGGTCACCGAAGGGACTGGATCCGGAGCGGGGCCAGGCAGGGGTGGAGGAGGGGGCACCGCCATTGGATCTACCCATGGAACAGAAGCTGGTTGCCGTAGCGGACTGGCTGTTGGCCAATCTCAAAGCAAAGCATGGCCCCCTGACCGAAGACTTCTGGGACAAGACCTACCTGGATCTCTTCCCCGTGCTGGACACGAGCGTCTCTCTCAAAAATGTGCTGGAGAAGTGGCTGCAACCAGGGGTAAAATGGTCCGACGCGTGGCACAGACTGGACACAATCGTGTCAGCAGGGTTCCACGCACCACAAGTTGCAGCAAAGGAAGAGGCCAGCCAGCAGGGAACACAAGAACCGGTGCCTCAACCCCCCCGGATCTGGTCCTCCAACACCCACTCCCGGCACCGGAACCGGAACCTCCGGACCCGGAGGAGGACACACCGCTCGACTTGGTGCGGAGAAGAAAGCTGAGACAGCTAGTTGAGATGGGGGGTGACACCGGTCCCATGTCGCAGGAAGCTGCGCTGTTCATCCCCGTCCGAAAGAGAAATGAGAAATGGGAAGTAGGCTTGTCGCCAGCAGCCAA